TTGCTGCTTGTTTGTTTTTTCCTTAAGAGCATCTGATGCGGTCTGCTGCACCATGTCTGTGGAGAACATGATCTTGATCAGGATTCTTTGTGTAGAGAGGTTATTCAACCAGGTTCTCCAGCACATGAAGCTCTGTCTGGCACGCTGAAGGATTTGGATTTTTTTTAACCTTTCTGTAACAGAAAGAAACAATCCCAAAGTTTTCCTGCATCGGGTTCATTTTGTAGTTTTTTTACCCAAGGTATTCTTGGACCCTCATTTTATTTATAGCTGTGACAAAACGTCAGATAACATATATATATATAATTTCAAAATTTTACATTTTATTCATCAAGAAAAATTCTTAGCTGAAATCATTCCAGCTTAAAACCACTCCCACCAGCCTGTGTATTTATCCATTAAAGGCCAAGTTTCAAAATCACCATTTTTAAATTAATCCTCTTTTTCTTTTTTAAATGGGGGGATGAGTCTATTATGGCGACCTATTTTGAATTTGTGTTTTTAAGCCAAAAAGGGTTTAGAGCAATAACTGTGATGCAGTGTGTGGCTGTTACGTTATTAACCATTAAGTTACTGTTATTAGACATTAGTTGAATGTATAAAGCCCCGCCCCCAAAAACAGACGGTGCTGGACCAACTTAGAGAAAGGGTAACAGCAGGTGGGCTGTAACTCATAATGAATCTGTGATATTAAATAGTTTGACAGCTAGTTGATGTTCACTATTAGCTATCCTGGTAATTACACCAGCTACAATCGCCTAATTCTTCATGTTGCTGGTTAACTAAGGATCAATGTTTTTGATTAAGACACTTAACCTTTTCTGACACGGTTGAACTTATTTACATTAAATATAAAAGAAAGTAAAACAGATAATCTGTATCGGAGAACGTTTATTGCATTTTGAGTGTCAAATATAGAATTGAGAACCTAGTTTCTCAAACAATAAATTTAAGAAAATTACTTATCTCTGAAAACATCTCGTGATTCATAGTGACCTTTGCATGAGTTTGTGCTACAAGACTTAACACAAGAATGGTGCAGTTCTTTCTTTGACCACAGGTGGTAGTATTGTTCTGTACACTTACATAATACCCTTTTAGCAGGTCTTTTTCTGCTTACTATAACATGGTGCATTTTGAAAGGCTATAACTCTCAAAGATATTGAATCCAAAATATATCTCATTATTTATTTTTGCTGCAGTTTTCTTTTTTTACTTAAATATAAAAACACCAGTCCCAATGAAACAGTTACTCCTTGTTACTTTGAATTGAAAATCCTATTTTAGTGTTAAGTTAAACAGTGTCGCTGAGTCCAAAGTTTAATTAATAAACAGCAGCTGTGGTCCTGCTCTGAGGGAGGAAGCAGCAAACTGACTGAGGCTGCAGCTCCTTGTTGAATCACAGCAAACAGCCTGGATGTGTGTGCGTGCCTTTGGGAACACCACATGGGGCTTTCTCACGTTCTGTTTACATGTGTGAACCCTTCCAGATACTGGGACACTGCGGCCTTTACACCCCTTCCACTGGGATATGTGGGGTGGTGGGAGGTGAGGACTGTCCTGCTGACATGAGAGCCAGAGAGGAGCATAACTGAAGGAACATGGATTGTTCAGTAAGGCCTGTTATAATGAGCCCAGAATAAGATCAAATGATCCATCATAGTCAGAAAAAAAGCAGCTCCAATCTTCTCCTTTGGCCTTTTAATACATGAGAAGACACTGAGTGCCAACCTTTGCTTTTCCTACTCATTGTTATCATAACCCTTTCTAGTGGAGGAATACTGAACAGTGAGTTACATCAGGGAGTAATTAAACGACTAGTTTCTCAGCATCACCCCTGGACAGGAGATTTCTCATTTTTGCAATATTCCTCAGATGAAAGAAGGAAA